ATGTTTGGTAATTTTTGATTCAATGCCAGACATTGTTGTGTATGGGATATGCTTTTATTTCTATACATAGTCTTGAGCCCTAAAATGGGATGGAGCTAAATTATGTGGAAATGATACTTTCTTTTTGAGGCTTACTTTAGGCTTTGTTAGAAGGAATTAGAGTATCTTGTAATCTAAGGATAATTTTGGACAACTACTGAAGCAATACCCTTCCGAGTGCTATACTTAATGTTGCATAGTATAATATTTTCCACCTGGATGGAGGAAACAGGAACTCTCTCCAGTCTGAGTGAGCTATGAGGATTGCTCCTTCTGCTTCTTTTGGATGATTCTTTCCCTGACCTCAAGTAGTTCCTCATACACATGTGCTGAGCAGCTGGACATCAACAGAGCCTCTGCAGGTGTTTGGGGGTCTCAGTCTTCACAGCTCTCCCCTCACTAATTGGCTTCTCTGAAAAGTCTAGAGAGCTTGGCCTTCCTAAACCCCAAGCTCTGTTTCCTCAACTCAGACCACCTCTTTGGCTACCCTTGGGTTCCCAATATTTCATACATTTTGCTCGTTGTTTTAGTTATTTCAAATGGAGGTAAAACCTAGTCTCTGTTACACCATCGTGACCAAAAGCAGAAATTCAGTAATGCTATTTGAATGATTTCATAACTCTTGTCTTCATATCAGCACAGACTAAGGTGTGGATGAACATCAATGTTGACTTGGCTTTGAATCCTAGCTCCAACACTTCCTGGCTGTGTGACCTTAGGACTCTGTGACTTAAGTTCCCTGGACCTCAGTGTGCTTCTCTGTAATGGTTCCTGCCCAATGCAGTCATTGTGAGAATGAAATGATGCAATACCTGTCAATTGTTTAGCATGGTGTCTGATATGCAGTAATCACTCAAGTCTTAACAGGTGTTGTAGTGGAGATAATGTCCTAGATGTGTACTGCATTGGTTAAATGTAAACTCTAGTGCCAGGACAACTTAGGTTTGGATCCTGATTCCTACGACAAGTGGCATTATGACTTCAAGATGGTTATTTGGTCTCTTTGTGCTTCTGCTTCTTTATCTGCAAAACAGATAGTTGTGAGGCTTAAATGAACTGATGTGGTTAGCACAGGACACATGGTGAGTGTTCAAAAGTATCATCATCATCTTACCATCATTCTCATAATCTCTCTTACAATTACATATGATAGACTCCAAATACCACATTGACACAGAGCAGGGCCAAATGACAGTTGCTATTGTATAAAATATATCTTGCCAGTGTACATGAAGAGCACACACCACCACAAACTGGGATACTTGCTTGCAACACTCCAGGGTAAGCTATGCACATTACAGTCTAAGTGAATGAAGCTTGTACGAGTGGTGCAGTGCACAACCTGCACTGCCATACAAAGTAACTCGGGCAGAAAAAAAAGTCAAACGTCAAAGAGACAGGACCAAAGCTGACCTTCAGTTTTCCTTAGATCCCAGATACTGGGGAAGCTGAGGAGAGGAAAAGAAGTAGAGCCGAATAGAGAGAGGGAATCAGACTTGAGGAGAAAGGGAGGGAACATGGATGGGAAGAAGAGAGAAAGAGTGGCAGAGGAAGAAAGACATAGTGATAGAAAGAGACACATTAAGAAAGAGATAGGCAGAGACACAAAGAGGGAGCCAGAGAGACATAAAGGAAGAGATAGAGAAGTTGAGACATAGAGGCAGAAAGAGGTAGACAGAGAGTGACTTACACAGAGAGAGAAAAAGAGACAGACATACCTTAAACTCAGAGAGACATTGGACAGAGCATATTAAGAAAGGCCTCTCTGCCCATCTGTCTTTCTCTCTATCCCTGTTGCTACCTCTCTCTCTGTCCTTCTCTCCCTCTGTATCCTTTTCCCTGTGTGTGTGTCTCTCTCTCCTACCTTTCCTCTGTCTCCATCTTTCCACGTTTCTACATCTTTTTCACATCCCCACTGACTGTGGTTGGTGCCTCTAAGCTGTTCAATAGGTTCTGGGAGATACAGGAACAGGAGATTCAAGGGGACAGCTCTCATTTAGATTGTCCTTCTCTTCCTCGTGGTCCCTGGGATACTTGAAGTAGACATCATGAGGGAGAAAGTTGGTGAATCACAGAATAGTAGACTCACGTCATCACTATTTTTTTGGGTAACAGACAGAATCATGGAAACATTTACCCTTAGATCCAATAGATCTTAGAATCATGAAACTTTAGAATCATAGACTCCTCAATACACTAGAATGTAAGCTCCATAAGGACAGAGATTTTGTCTATTTTTCAATCTGTGAGTTTCCACACAAAGCATCGGTGGTAGAGGTGGGCTAAGATCAAAGTTTCCAAAACATACCCATTGCATCTTCTCTCCATCATCTTTCTATCTGAGGCCAGAACCTCCACCCCTGAGTTCCTCACTTACTCTCACCCTGCTATCCTGACTGTCAGTTTGGAGAAAATTGAAGAAAAGCAGGTGCCTACATTTCTCCTCCCTCATACCTGGCTTCCCCCTCACCTCCTTAAGGGATTTGTATAGATTCTCCACATGCACACCCAGGATATTTCTTACAATGTGCTTGACTGCAGGGCCAACAAGCAATGGCCAGACCGGAAAGAGGAGCAAGCCTGAGAAAGTAAGTCATACAGCATTTGTTCATTGTGTATGACCCTTTTAATGTGCTGTTGAATTCAGTTGGCTAGTATTTGTTGAGGATTTTTGCATCTGTGTGCATCAGGGATATTGGCCTGTAGATTCCTTTTTTTGTGGTGTCCTTATCTGGCTTAGGCATGAGAGTAATTCTGGCCTTGTTAAGCGAGTTTGAAAGTGTTCCTTCCTTTTCAACTTTTTGGAAGCATTTCAGAAGGATTGGCACTAATTCTTTAAATATTTGGTAGAATTCACTGGAGAAGAAATTTGATCCTCAGCTTTTCTTTGTTGGCAGGTTTTTGATTACTAATTAAATCTCCTTACTAGATACAGGTCTGTTCATATTTTCTATTTCTTCATGATTCATTCTTGGTTTTTTGTTTCAGGTAATTTACCCATTTCTTCTAGGTTATCCAGTTTATTGGTGTATAGGTATTGTTATGTCAGAGTACTCAAGCCCACAATGGGATATTTTAGGGTAATGGGTGCTAGGGCCATGGGGAATTTAGGTAAGGCAATACTTCTAATGGCTAATACGGGCATACCTGTTTGCCTTCTACTTTATGTTCAGTAACTCCCTTAAGATTATGGCACGTACCTTATTTAAAAGTAGTAGGACCCCCAGGTATAACTGTAATTTGAGCTCTGTATCGATTAAGTTCATGAAAACTTGCCAATTGATACATTTCAGTACATTTAAGCTAATTCAGAACCTGTGTCATAGAGGCATAAAAGCTAACCGGTCCCTTTTATCTTTTGGCTGTAAAAGTTCTTTCAGTAAATTTTGGATTTCTAATTGAGTCACACTGGGGAGTTTTTTTTTTTTCATTTTTTTCCTTTTGTTTCCACCCTTTTTATTCGGGTCGGTCTCTGTTTCTCTGCTTCCCTCCTTCCCTCCCTTTACCCTTCTTTCTCTCCTTCTCCCTTTCTTTTTCGATCACTGAATACACTTCAGGGGAGAGGGTGATCATCTCTATTCTGTTCATATATGTAAATTTGTTACTCCAGAGAGCCTCAAATCAATATTGTCAGGGTTAGGGGCATCCCCTAACTCTTTATAAGGCCTAAATCAAGTTTGAATGAACCCCTTCACTGTGCCATAGGGGTTCGATGGATGTTTTCCATTATAACCCCGGGGATCAAGAAATTTTGTTGCAACAGAGGCCTGGGCAGCAAGAGCAGAGGTGTTTAAGGGCCCTGGAGAACAGTCCACTTTTAGGACTGTGAACATTCTCAGGCCACCTAAAGGCTGCTTTTCCCCTTCTCTCCCTCTTTTTTTACTTCCTAAAGATTGCTCTTTTGTGGTTATAGCTTTTCCCCCGAGTGTGCATGCTTTCTCTCTCTCTATATATATGTATATACATGAGATATTTTCTTACATAACCACAGAACAATTATCAAAATCAGAGATTTTAACATTGATACCATACTATTATCAAATCCACAGTCTATATTAAATGCTCATCAATTGTCCTGATAATGTCTTTTGTAGCAATTGTCCCTTTCCCCCAGTTCAGGATCCAATCTGTGATCATGCATTACATTTAGTTGTTGTGTCTTCGGTCTTTCTTAATCTGGAATAGAGTCTCAGCTTTTGTCTTTCTTGACCTTGACATTTTGAATAGCATAGAATAGTTATTTTGGAAATTTTCCAGACCTCAATTTGGATTTTGATGATATTTCCTTATGCATTTTGTCCAGCACAATTTTTAATCCTTTGGAAGGCAAAACCTTTTTCAACAGACACTTAACATGGCATTGTATCAAAGACTAGCCTTTGGTTTCCATAAGCTCTATAGAAGTGGGCTTTTTCTGTAAGGAGACGGAGAAAGCCCTTTCAATTTCCAGTGTCTGTTTTCTCAGAGTTTCATGAGGCTCCATGATTAAGGCTTTATGGATAGGATTACGAAATGCCACATGACTCTTGAAAGTAGCATGAAATTTTAAATCATCTAAAGCTAGAATTTTTTTTCATAAATCTGCCTATATATTTGGCTCATTCTTTTTAAAAAACATCCTAGTTACTCTTTTTGTATAAAACAACCCCTATTTTTAAACACAGTAAAATTCACTTTTTACAATGAGGTTTTACAAATGCATAGGTCCTTATAACCACCACCACAGACAGGATACGGAATAATTTCAACACCCCAAAGAGTTATCTTCTGCTGTCCTTTGTATTCAGATCCTTCCCTCTCCTCTAACTCCTGACAACCATGGATCTAGTCTCTGTATCAGTTGTCAACCTAAAAACCAAGTTTGCCTATTTTACCCTCAAGATGAGTTTATTCAGGAACAGCCCAAAGAAGTGCAATCCAGGATGTGCATGCTGTGGCAAACCATAGGCAAATCCAGCGGACAAAGGAGGGGAGCTGTCTTTATAGAGAAAAAGGGGAGTAGGAGGAATGGGCTGTTCTAGGAAAGTCCATGGGGGAAAGTAAGATTTCAGGGCAGCAAGAGCTTTTCACTGGCTGGGCTGCTGCAAGGTGGGTGAGAAATCTTCCGTCAGTAGTAAAGTAGTTTTTCTCCCGGTCCAAGGTGCAAGCTCGCCTCTTCCACTTTGGTGTAATTCACAATGTGTGATGTGGATGAGAACTCCCTCTACAGGTCTTCCTGACTCCAATTTAGTTAAGATTTCCTTTATTAATTTCCACACAATATTTTGGCCTTTTCCAGAATTTCATATAAACAAAGTATGACTTGTGTTCTTCTAAGAAGACAGCCATGAGAAGACAGAAACACACAGGGGGAGCGCCATGTGGTGACAAAGGCAGAGTTTGGAGTTATGCAGCTGCAAGCCAAGGAGCTCCAAAGATTGCCAGTGAACCACCAGAAGCTAAGAAGAGGCAAGGAAGGATCACCCTACAGGTTTCAGAGGGAGCTGCTGACACCTTGATTTTTGGACTTTTAGCTTCCAGAACAGCAAGGTGATCCATTTCTGTTGTTTTAAGCATCCCAGTTGTGGTACTTTGATACAGTCATGCTGGGAAACTAGAACAAGGGGCTCAGTACAAGAGCCTGGCACATAGCAGGCACTCAGCCCATTCTACTTGCTGTTGTATGGCAAGAACAGGTGTGTGTGTGTGTGTGTGTGTGTGTGTGTGTGTGTGTGTGAATGTGTGTGTGTGAGAGAGTGTGTGTTTTAACTCTAGGGATTCTTGGTTTCACCGAAGAGGGCGTGAAGAACGAGCTACCCAGCAACATCACTCTCCCATCCTCCCAGTCCTGCAGCCACTGAGTTTTTAAAGCTCTTCAGCACTGAGCTATGTTTTGACCTACACATAATCCTGTGAGGAAGGAGGCAGATGAGAATGTGAGGCCAGAGAGAAGCCCAAGAAGGCCCAAGGAATTAATAGCAGAGCCTGGACCAGAATCTAGGGCTCCTGTACCTACCTCCACCCCAGAACTATCTCTGCTGGTTAGGCCGTTGACCCTTCCAGAGCACCAAAGCTGAGAGTGTCCTCTCTGGACAAGTGTGACCCAGGCATTGGTGGCTAGAATGTGACTTCTCTCAGCACCTTTGGTAATGCCTTGATGGACTCCTGCTTTCTCCTTTCCAGGTGTAAGTTTCAGGATTTTGGGGATTAATACTTGTTCTCCTTTTCCCCTCCCCTCTCCTTTGCAAGGCAAAGACCTGCTAGCCATTCTATCTTCTCATGGAAATGGACCTCATTGGCAGAGCACAGCTAGCTCCAATTGCTCTCCTCTCTTGACTTTTCTCAGAAGGATCATCCAGCTTGGAGAATGGACATTTGCTGCCAGAGGGGCTCGGAATGCAGTTTCCAAAGATGTGTGCAGGGGAAACTCTGATGCTAAAATTCTGAGCATCAAGAGTTCCGAGCATCAGTGGTTCAAATACTCTGAATCTCAAGTTTTGGGAGTCTGAGATTCCAAGATTATTAATTGTGGACTTGCAGTTCCAAGATTTGACAGTTTTGTTATATCACAATTCTAAAATTCCCCCGGTTGAGATTTCTAGAAGGTGACATGCATATAGATGGATGAGGTTTGATTTTGACACTTGATTGTTAACGTGTTTATAATAATGAAATGACTCTAAGAATCCATACTTATCCTCCTTCAATGAGCAGAAACCACCAATTCATGGAACTCAAGTTGCAAAACATAGATAATGGAAATTGAGAAACTTGAGAATCATAGTCAGTTGTGAAATGTACAGAATTCAGAAGATCAGTTTTCTCTTCACTTGATCACAGTCTGTCGTCCTTCAAGTGTGGCCAGTTTTGTGGGGCAGGGTCTATGTAGCATTTAGATCTATGGCTACATCTAAAGCTGGATCTAACTGATGTACATGAATGTTCAGATTATGAGCTGTTGAAGGATGCCGCTTCTAAGGGAAATTATGCTAACTTATTTAAGAGTAGGCAGGTGATTCTGAGACTCTTAACTCAGTTTTACTGCAGACCTCAGATCCATTTGAGAGAATCCTGTCTTCAGAAACTCATAGGAAATACGAGTTCATGCATACACTCAGGAGAACATATAATCATATTTGCATACACACATGCACGCACACAAACACATGTACATGGCTGTGCTATGACCAAAATTCTGTCATTCTCTGAAAGTGTTTCTCTCCCCCACCCATTTCATTAAAAGGTCTGACTCCTGTCCCTAGGTCTGACACTAATTGGACACAATGGCCTTCTCTGGTGGGTGGCACGAAGTATGTCCTGGCATCCAAAGTGTGCACAAATAGGCAAGAGTATGGGCAAGTGTGTAGTGAAGGAAGGTCAGCTGTCTGTCAGGGCTCTGGAAAAATCCCCTGGGCAGAGCTGTTCAGGTTGTGTAGTAATATGCTAAGTTGTTTTTCACTTGAGGAGGAGGTGCCTTTTGAGAATCTAGCCAATGGACTGTGGGACAAGTAGAGCCATCCATGCACAGATCTGTCAAGTACTAGCTGAACACTTACTGTGTTCTGTAGGACCCAGGACAGAGACTTAATCTCCCTGAGCCTCAGCTGTGTCACCTGTAAAATGGGCATGAACACTGTTCCCTGTCTCATAGGTTGTGAGCATCAAGTGAGGTGAGTGTGTAACGCTTTTAGCATAGAGCTGACGCAGAGCACTTTCTCAATAAATAATAGCTGTTCTTCTTCACAGTTTAGTGTAAGGTGTCCCTTCCTCTCATCCCAGCTCTGAAGGAGCTATCTGTATCAAGGAGAACAGACAGAGCTCGTTCTGTTTATTCGTCCTCTCCATTCCACCTTGCTGCCCTAAATTCCCCTCAGCCCACCCCCTATCCTCAGCCCCGCCACTCCTGCTAGCCCCGTCCCTCCCACTGGCCCCACTCTCCAGCTAGCCCCACCCAGGCTCTCTCTCCCCCATTTGCTCCTCCCTCTAGCCCTGCCCTGGCACAGTGCCTGTCTAGCGGGGCTGGAAGCTCATGGTGTAGTTTCGTGGGATAGTGGCAAAGCCCACATGTTTGGGGGACACGTCGATGTCTTGAGGTGATTGCGGGGATTTGAAGTGGAAGTTCTGCATGATGGTAGTGAGGAATAGAAAGAGCTCCATCCTAGCCAGGCCTTCTCCAAAACAGTACCGCTTTCCTGAAGAGACAAGATAGGAGGGGCAGAGATGAGGCCAACTCTCACCACTGCCTTGCCCAACTACCAACCCCCAGCTGCATTCTCCCAGGGAGGAGGGGTTGGAATATTGTGGCCTGAGAAATTTTCCAAGAAGGCTCTAATCCTCTCTGAGCATCCATTTCCACAGTACATGAGATGAGGGTGAGCCATACTAGACTGTAGCAATGGGAAATTTAGATGCCCCTTTCCTGCAAATACAAACTCAAATATGGCTGCTGTGTTGTCATCTCCCTCCTACCAATCCGAAGAATTTAAGTGACCTTGGACAAATCTCTGACTCACTCTGGGCCTTGATTTTTCCATCTCTGAAAGTAATATGATCACCCAATTCTTTTTGTGTGGGCCCAGGTCCTTGGTTGCTTGGGGGTTGCAGCTTTTTGGATCCAGGGTAGATTCTAAGAGAGAATTCCAAGCTGGGAAAGATACCAAGCTACACCTCAGAGAGAGGAGCTGGGATGAAGGAGGACCCTGTGGGTGTGAGTGGTGGCTTGGCAGCAGATAGTGGTCTCTTACCAATGGAGAAGGGCACGAACCCATCACTCTTCTTAAACTGCCCCTTCTCATCCAGGAAGTGCTGGGGGTTGAAATCGTGGGGATTGGAGAAGAACCTGGGGTCTCTCAGGACAGAGCCCAGCATAGGGAACACTTCAGTGCCCTGTTAGGGAGGAAGGAAGAGGATTTGATGAGGTGTAATTGGGGATGGATGTGCTGAAAGTGCATGTGGGTTGGATGGAGAATTTGGGTGCCCTAGGTAAAGAGGAATGGGATGCATGGGGGTGGGGTTCCTCTGGGGGATGAACTTTGAGAGACTTGAGATTCATGTCTCTGAGATAAGAAGTTTATGTGACATGGGGTCTGTGTTTCCCGAGGTAGAAGGTTTGGGGGACATGGGGGTTCATGTTCTCTGAGACAGGAAGTTTGGAGGACAGGAAGTTTCTTCCCTGAGAGGGGAAGTTTGAGGAATATGAATTCTGTGTCTCTTGGGGCAGAAGATTTGGAGGACAAACAGTTCATGTCTCTCAAAGCAGGAGTCTGGGGGACATGGTGTTCATGTTCCCTGATAAAGGAAGTTTGGGGGACATGGGGTTCATATTCCTGGAGGCAAGAGATTTAGGAGAGATATGGGATTCAGGAGTCTCTGAGTGGGAAGGTTGAAGGGACATGGTAGTTGGGAGTCTTTGATTGAGGGAGTGGGACAGGGGCTAAGAAGCTTCTAAGAGCAATGGGGTGCTGAGTCAGAGGGGTCAGGTTGGAGGTCCCCCTACGGGGGGCAGGGCTGCACCTTTGGGAGGAGAAAGTCTCGAAATTTGGTGTCCTTGGTGACTCTGCGGGCCACGCCCATTGGGATCATGTCTCCAAATCTTTGGATCTCGTGAATCACCGCCTCTGTGTAGGGCATTTTGGCCCGGTCCTCAAACTTGGGCTGACGGTTCTTGCCAATCACCCGGTCAACCTCCTCATGGACCTTGGCTTGGGGGAGGAGGAGAATGTGTTTAGGTATCTAGAGGTCTCAGGGCAGGGATGATAGTCGAAATGTGAACAACAGTATGTCCATGTGAGACATGGATGTAGACCTTTCGAAACATGTCTGCCAAATGCATTGTTGGCTTAGTGTCCTGTTCAACTGGTCATGCCAGAATCATAGAGGAAACCCAAGGGAGGGGTATTGGAGGCTGTTCTGGAAAGGCAGTGGCACTTGGTGGGATTAGCATAGGAGGTATTTTACCAATTCAGATATTTTTAATATTTTAACAGCTGGTGAAACTTGGCAGCTGCTTATCAGCTGAATATCACCCAGTCTCTGGATAGTAGGGTATGTCTGAGAGTCCAGGGATCTGAGAGAGTTGGGGACATTGCAGTGGGCCTACAGGATTTTTGAGGATCTGTGAACCCCACTTCCCTGCCCCTTCTAGTCTTACCCTCCACATCTGGGTGCTTCATGAGCAGCAGGAAGCCATAGCGTAGTGTTGTGCTGACTGTCTCTGTGCCAGCAAAGAAGACATTCAACGTGGTCAGCACCAGGTTCTTCAAGTAGAACTCTGTGTTGGGGTTCTTCTGCTCCTGCAGTGAGAGAGGGCTTCAGGACGAGCTCACTCCTCCATGGTCTCAGGGCCCTTCTGGGGTTTTTCTTTTGAACCCACTTCTCTTAAATCCAGACCAAAGGTGGGAAGAGGGACCCTAGTTCTCAGGCTCTCTCCAGTCCTCAAGGCTTTGCCACAGCTGCTGGCTCCGCCTCAAATGCTCTTCTCACATTCTTTGCCAGCTGACTATCTGCCATTTGATTATCAGTTTAGTGATCACTCCTTTATGGCAGAAAATATTTGGAAAGAGAGGCATAGGGAGAGACACTGAGTGAGAAAGAGGGATGGAGATGGAGTGATAGAATGAGTCAGAGAGGGTTAAAGAGAGACTAATTTTCTGAGACACAGACACAGAATTTTAGGCACCAGCATCCTATTTCCTTCACTAAAAATCTTGAAGCTTACTATAGAGGAATTTCTCCCTTGCTCCTTTCACCTTGGCCTTCAGACTCCATAAAGCCTCCTCTACTTTCTTCACAGAAGGGAGATTGACCTCCAGATGGGGGAGGGGACCCCCCTCCCCCCACTGTCTCATGGTAAAGCCAGGTTTCCTGTCCACACAGGTACATCTGACAACCAGGGAACAAAAGGTAAGAGCATGGTGGCTAAAAGCACCAGCCTTGGAGTCAGAGAGACCGGGGTTGACCTAGGGTCTACTGCTTCCTTGCTATGTGACATCAAGCAGGCCACTTATATTTCCTGGGCCTCAGTTTTCTCGGTTGTAAAACTGAGGTCATAATAGAATCCCTTTCAAGAGCTTTTCTGAGTGCTAAATAGGCAAATACCATAAAGCATTTAACATAGTGCCTGGAACACTGTAGTGTTATGAAAGTGCTTGTTGTTATGATTTGCATGCACAATACCTGCCCTGGGCAAGGACTCAGTAGATGGAAGAGTGGTGGCTAATTATAACTGGGATTGTGAGGATTATTTTGATAGGGGACTCATTTGAATGGGCCTCAATTCTCCTCCACCCTCAGCCTGATTTCCCTCTCTCTGGCTTTGGACCTGCCCGCCTGGCTGCTGGGTGTACCTGCTGCATGCGGATGAGGAAGGAGTCGATGAAGTTCCGCGGGGAGTTGGGATCCAGGGTGCGTTGGTTCTGCTCCACCTTCTTGGCTATGAAGTCCTCCAGGCCCTGCAGCTCCTTAAAGGCCTGTTGCTGTGGCCCTGGCAGGTGTTTCATCACTGAGTAGAACATCTCATAGAGCTGAGGGTGGGGGACAGAGGAAGGAAAGGGAAGGACTGCTGTCAGTGGGCAGGACTCGATGGCAGTGGGACCTGTCTCAGGGCCAGGAAGGCACTGAGTTAATCGCACCTGCCCAGGTGTTGAGGTATTTAGATGGGGCTGGATGGGAATAGATATCTAAGTTTTCACATGAGGTAAGTGTGAGCATTCCTGTCTAAGAATTTAGGTGAGATGGATTGAGACACATATCCAGGGTTCAGATATTCAGATGGGTCTGGATGGGAGCACAGATCTAGATTTTCAAATATTCAGGTTAGGTTGGGTTGGGAGACACCTGTCCAAGTGTTTACCTATTCAGGTGGCACTGGTGTGGGCGGTCAGTTGTCTAGGTGTTTAGACATTCAGGTGGGCTCAGTAGGAGACAACAGTGCAGATATTTTGGAGACCTGGATTGGAGGCTTCTGTACAGGTGTTCAGGTAGTAAAGTTGTGCTGAAGTGCAGGTGTTAAAGTGGGGGAGATATCTGTTCAGGTGTTCAGATATTCAAATTGCCCAATAAGGGTCCTTTCTATGGGTGTTTAACAGGGCTGGGTTGAGGGACATTTATTTGGGTGTTTGTGGAACAATATATCCACACGTTTAAGTGTTTAGGGGTCTTGGTTGGGGTACCTGTCTAGATGTTCAGATATTTCAATGAGCTGGGTAGGGGACATTTGTCTAGATATTCCAGTGGACTAGTTTGGACATGTGTAGATATCAAATGATTTTGGTGGGCTGCATTTTGCAGCACCAGGTGTTCAGGTAGTTAGAGGGTGGGCTGAAATGGTCACTACTCCAGATGTTGAGAAAATCAGATGGAAAGATAGAATATATTAACAGGGCGCGCCTGTGAGATAGCAAGGTAAATTTGGATGGAAACACCTGCCCAGGTGAGAGAACTGGGTTGAGAGCAGGAATCTTGCCTGCAGGCTCTCGTTCTGCTTTTGGGTGGTGGGGAGGGGGACAGAATCAGGGCACCTGTTGAGACATCCAGGTGTCAGTGGAGATTGGGTATTGGGTGCCTACCCCCAATCTGATGCAACTGTCCAGTTGCCCCAAGAGTGGCAGCTGGATTTAAGGGACCCTGTCTGGAGGAGATTGGGACACCTGTCTCCATGTGGAGGAGCACTTGGCATGTTGTGGTAGGGATCTGGTAGAGCCGAGCTGGCACAGGTTACCTGCCCCGTAGACGTAGCTGTAAATTGGAAGCTTCCCAGCATCATACGCAGCAGTGACAGGAACTCTTTGTCTTCATAGTCAAAGCGATCCCCAAAGACAATGGAGCTGATGACATTGGAGACAGCTCGGCTCAGGAAGAAGGTGGGATCAATCAAGGTACCTGGGAGTGAGGTGGGATCGGAGAGAGACAGGGATTTTAGGGAGAGTCACCTCGGTGGTCTGATGCCAGTCTGAGAATTCCAGGGGGACTGAAGTGATGAGCCAAACTTCTGGCTTCAGACTTCAGAGCTGGGAGCCCTGAAGCTTTCCTCCAACCTTGTCCCCTTCCAGGGGCCAGAATGCACATCCCTATTGGGAGTTTTCTCCTGCTTCCCACAGACTCCAGTGTTCCCTGCTCACCACGTGTGCTCCGGAAGGCCTCGATGAGGAAGCCTGCTTCCTCCTGAATGCGTTCCTCAATGCCACGCTTGCCCACTCCGAAGTCCCGCAGTGTAGTGATGGAGAAGCGTCTGAGCTGTTTGGCACGCTCGCCGTTGCTGAATGCCACACCTAGGGAGGGAATGTAGGAGTGGTGAGAGTGCTGAGATGGGTGGGGGCAGTCCACAGACCAGCCCCAGGGGCCCTGGAGAAGTTGAGGGAGCTGAGCAGAGAATGAGGGAGTGGGAGAAAGCTGGAGAGACTCTGAGAGAGAGAGACAGAGCAGAAAAAGAGAGAGAGAAAATTTCAGTCAGAGAAATAGAGAAAGAGAGACTGAGTTGAAATAAAAGAGTCAGAAGGAGAGAGGCAAGACAGATGCACAGAGAAACAGATACAGAGACACATAAAGAGCGAGAGGAGGGAAGGACAGGAAGTGAGATATGTAGAGATCTGAGAGGTGGATATAAAATGTGAAAGATTCTAAAACTGAGACAGAGAAGAGAGAAAAATTTGGAGAGAGAAACAGAGACAGTCTGGAGAGATGAAAGACTCTCACTGGAGACAGAAGCATGGCGATTTTGAAGCAGAAATAATGTGAGATTCTAAGATTGAGGAAGAGAGAGAGAGAAACATAGGGAAGCACAGAAGCCAAGAAGGATAAAGAGATAAAAGACACATGGAGACAGAGGACCAGGGTTCCAAAGCAGAAATCCCAAGAGCTTCTAAGAGATACAGAGAAAGAAGAGTCATCTAGTGACAGAGAACAGGGAGATGGGGCAGAGAGAGGTAGGAAGAAGTAGAGACACAGAAACTGTAAGATGATTTAGAGACAAAGGGAGAGGCATCAATGGGAGGGGATGGGGCAGAGAAGACAAAAGAAGGCTCTGCCCCAGCCTGAGTGGGTGGGAGAGCCAAGAGAAGAAGGCTAGGGACCCCACTGAGGCCACCAAGTCAGCCTGCCCATATTCCTCTACCAGGGGTCACCCCTCACCATAGCCTTTGAAGAGCCAGTCGAAGGTGGCCTGCTCTCCTCGTCCACTGAATTCCTCAGCCTGGTCCAACAGAGCCTCCTTCACAGCTTCGTATCCACATAGCACCACGATTCGCCGGGGCCCCAGGTGAACCGTGAACACTGGCCCATAGCGCTTGCTGATCTGATGGCGGTGGGTGGGAGTTGTTAGAGGGAACAGCTCCTACTCTGAACTGGCCCTGTACCCAGACCTCAGCTAACAGGATGAATTTCCCCACAGGTTCTGACAGTCGAGGAGCTGGACATCCCATGATCTGGTGTTTCCTAGATAGGACCCTGATGCTGAACCTTCAAAACTCCCATTTTCTAAGACTCTAGTCCAACCTTGTCAATCCCCTGCCACAAAGCCCCAGCCAAACTAAGCAGGCTGCTACATGCTCCTCATTCTGCCCATCTCCCTTCCTGGTGGCACCTTCATGAGGGAGTTGTACATCTGCTCTGTGTTCAGCTGCAGGTAGTTCCCAATGAAAGGCAATGGGGTGGGTCCAGGAGGCAGCTTCCCCAAGAACTTCCCCTGCCGCCAGACAGACATCAAGACCATTAAGGTCAGGCAGGCCAGAAAAGCCACCAGAAGCAGCCCTGAGGCCAGCATGGTGGCACTGAAAGTGATGGTCAGATGATGATGGCTGGGATGTTTTGCCTTTATACTACCCGGGGTAGAAGGGTGGATTTTGATCTTGGTTATGTAATTGTCTTGTTTCACCTCCTAGCTACACCCCACACCGTGCTCCCTGCCTAACTTGGGACACAGCCAGCAAGGAAAGAGGAGGGAGTCTCCTGGGCAGATTAACAGAGATTGGGCTGCAAGATTGAATTTGTGGCCCCTCAAGAGGGACCACCCCAGGGCTGTGGATTTCAGGGGTGGGGAGCTGTAGATAAATGCCAGAACTGAAGGTTTCGGAATATTTGCATGGGGCAGCCCCTGAGCTTTGATTTGGGGTTTCAGAGTGAGAAGGGACCCAAAGGTGTGAGTTTTGGGGTCTCAGGAAAGAAGAATCCAAAGATCTGGATTTAAGGGTATTGGAATGAGACAGCATCTGTAGCTGTTGATTTGGGGGCCTTTTGCTGAGGAAGGATGTATGTTTAAAGGTCTCAGGAGCAGTGATTCCAGTGGATGGAATTGAGGATCTTGAAGTATGGAAGGACCCCAAGCTGTGGCTGTGGGGTTCCTGGGTGGAAAAGTATACAGAGAGTGCAGCTGGATCAGTGAGTCAGCACCTGACCCCAGGCATTCACCTGTGGTTGTTTTGGACACATTGCCACCTCCTACTGCCCAGAATCCTCCTTCAGACTTCAAAGCACAGTTGGGATCGGTATCAAAGAACTGCCCATCTCTAGTTAGGTAAGAGGTAGAAGTTCAGAGCCACATTTGAGTGGAATGTTCCACAGAATAGGAGAGGAGTATGATCTCAGAAGCAGAGGCACTGGGCAGGACTTATGAAATAGTGAAATAGTGATGACAACCACCAGTATGGTATTGAGGAGTCCCGACTGTCTCAAGGGTTACAATTTACAGAGAGCTCCACTGGCTCCCTTCCCAGATCCTTAGAGAAGCTCACTAGGTTGATTGTATCATTTCTGTTATTATTGTTATTATTAATGTTTCCCATTTTATATATAGGCATATTGAGGACATAAAACAGAGACTGGGCAGGGGGCCCCTGCGTGACTCCTGTCTCTCCTGCTCTGCACTCTTATTCCTCCTGGAGTATTTGGGAAGAGAAGTTCGTATTTGAGGGCATGTGAGGTTCCCTTTAGGGGTGATTCCTGATTTGCCAGGGGTGCTATTAGAAGCCTGAGGGAACCATAGCAGGAGAGATTTGGGTAAACTCCAGTGTCTAGAAGAGAGGTGGGCCCTGGGATGCTGAAGGTGGGAGCAGATAAAAGATCAGTGGCCTTGCTGTCCTTCCCTCTTTTATATTCTTCCTTACTAATAAGGACGGTTACCCTTTGCTGAGCACTAATTGTGAAGATTAAGTCCATGTATGCATGATCTTATTGAATCATTATAACAATGGGGATAGTTCATTATCATCCTAATTTTGCAGTTCAGAAGACCAAGACTCCGTACAGCCACTTGTTTGAGGTCACACAGGTAGTAAGCGAGGGAACTTGGATCTGAACCCCCTTCCCTTCTTTGTCGTGGACTGGCCTGGCCCATCCTGGTGCCAAGTGGAGAACAAGTTTAGCAACAGGTGGCTGCTGAGACTGGCTTCAGCGTTGGACACAGAGATTATATTGTCAAGTTCTGCTATAGGCATCAGGTAGGCCTCAGGAAGAAAGGGCATCATGTTGACATTGAGTTCACCCCCTGGTAGACACTAGGATTGAAAACATGTTGGCACTGAACTTGATACCAGGAGAGCATTAATAGAGCCACTTCTGGTACTAAGAGGGCTCTGAGAGTAGGTCCAGGTGGTCCATTGAGGCTAGCTTCAGGAAGACAGAGGGATGGCACCATATAGGCTCTGAGATTGGTCTTAGCAGGCTCTGACATGTGCATCAGGTAGGTGCTGATATTGGTCCTACGTGGGCCTGAGAGGGGTCTCAGCTGGGTACTGGGCAGGCTCTGACAGTGGACTACCCGACTCAAGTGCCACCTCTCACCTTGGACAAGGGCAGGAGGGTGAGGTTGGCACTCCCAGGACTGGCATTTTGCTCAAAGCATTCTAGGCCGCTGAACTTTGAGTCCTGTGGGGAGGGAACAAAGGGCAGAGAACAAAGCTAAGAGAGGCAAGTTGTTTATTACTTTTGGAGGGGGAAAAGGAGGGGAGAAAGATTAGGCTGGGTTTGGCAGGTATTGATCCTCTTAATCCCTGTCATGAGGCTGCACCTGGGTTGGCCACAAGCCTGAGCTCCTCCTCTTCCCCCTTGTCCCTTGGTAAAGAGAGAGCTGGAAATTTTTAGAGTTTGTTTCTCTGTGAGTTTGGCACCAGAAAGGGCACTGAGTGTTCAGACAGGCTGCTATGTACTGGAAGGGGAGAGGGTGAGAGGGTGAGACTGGGAGAAGTACTTGGGGACAGAAAGGTCAAGCGAGGTTGGATTGTTGACCCAGGAACATGGAGTGAGAGATCAGTGTCTGTAATCACCTGTCTTACCTTCCAGAGGCAGGACACAGGCTAGTGTGGGATGCCCTGGGATAGGCTTTTAGGGTGAGCTGGTGGTGGACCCAGGAAAATCCCCTTTCCTCTCTGGGCTTCAATTTCCCTTTCTAGACAGATGGTACAGTGGTTAAGAGCAAGATTAAGATGTAGGTTGGAATCTTAACCTTATCACGTCTTTGTTGTGTGACTTTCAACATGTAACCTCACCCCTCTGAGCCTCATGGGGCCAATAACAGCACCCGCCTCTTAGGCTATTTTGTTGAGGAGTCAATGGGTTAATGCATGTTAAGTCCATGGCGGTAAGTGCTTAGTAAATATTAGCTGTTATTGTTATTAATCCATGAGTTGAAGGAGATGGATGAGAGGATCACTAAACTCCCTGTGGCTTTTACATTCTTTGGTCTAAAGTTCCCAAAGCTTTTTCTCTGGGAAAGGAGGAAGTGAGAGAAAGTTTCTGGGGAACCTCCTTCTCCATTCCTCTCCCAGCACAGCACAGCCTTACTCCCTGGAACTGTGAATAGGAAATTGATCTTCTAGATGGACATCTGGAGGGATGGGGGATTAGGCAGTACCTGAAGAAAGTTTGGTCAAGGTTAGACCCTCAGGTTGTTCTGGATGGGCATGAAGTTCTGTGTAAGATTTTGCCCATTCTCTGTCTCTGTCTCTCTCTCCTTGTCTCTGACTCTCTGTCTTGCTCTTTCTCCTTCCTTGCAAGTCAGCCTGCCCTTCAACCCTCTCATGTGCTTCTGTATCTCTTATGTTTGTGTCATTTTGTCCAGTGGGTTCTTCCAGATGCCTCTGTCACATTTCTCCTTATTTATACATGTGTACACAGTCATGTGCAACATAATGACATTTCGGTCAACAATGGACCATGTATATGATGGTAGTTCCCCAATATTAGTACCGTAGAGCCTAGGTGTGGTAGGCTATACCATCTAGGTTGTGTAAGTTCACTCTCTGATGTTTGCACAATGACAAAATCACCTAATGATGCATTTATCAGAACAGATCCCCATCATTAAGCAACACATGATGGTATGCGTCATTGTTTTTTTTTTTTTGGAAGATTAACCATGAACTAATATCTGCTGCCAATCCTCCTCTTTTTCTGAGGAAGACTGGCCCTGAGCTTACATCCATGCCCTTCTTCCTCTACTTTATATGTGGGATGCCTACCACAGCATGGCTTGCCAAGTGGTGTCATGTCTGCACCCGGGGTCCAAACCGGCAAACCCTAGGCTGCTAGAGCAGAACGTGCGTACTTAACTGCTGCGCCACCAGGCCGGCCCCGTATGTCATTCTGAGTGCATGCTTGGAGTGTCTGTGCATGTCTGTGTGCATTTATGTTTCAGCATGTCTATGTTGATACATGAATTTAGGCATACACATGTCTTTGTGGAGTGTGTGTTCATGCATAAGTGGGTATCCATACCTGCGTAGGTCTATACATGCACATCTGTGTGATGCATGACAGGGTGTGTGCATATCCATGCCAGTGTGCCTGAATGCACACCCATCTCTGTGTCTGTGTGTGGGTACCAATGTATGTTCTTTGGGACATGCATGTTGGGGGATGTCTATGTGAGGTATGACTCTCTATTCACATCTGTGTGTGTGCGTGTACAACTTGGGACTATGTATGAGTATGTGGATGTTTTTGTGAGCATTCTAGTGTAGTGGAGCACTCAGCACCACTCAGCACAGTCTGGCACAGAGTAGTCGGTTTAGTGAACATTGGTTGAACTGTTAAACTTGTTGAATGGCTTAGGAGGCTTGTGGGCCATGTTGTATACACATGAGTGCCTGAGATCTGCTTGTGCCTCTCTATGTTTATCTTCAAAAACAGCCCTCACCTAGCTCCATTTCCCTTCTTAAAAAAACAGGTAGTTCTCTTATTCTTCATGGTATTATCTCCCTCCGTTTCCAAGGGTTACAGCAGGTAGAAAATGCCTCCATAGGACAGGTGTGTCCTGAGAGCATTCTGAGGTAGGTCATTCCCATCAGATGAATTTAAATATCCTCTCAGAAAATCCCCTTTCCCACGGTATTACTGCCAGCATCCTAAGCCATTCAACAAGTTTACCAGAATTGTTCAACCAGTGTTCACTAAAGCCAGTACTTTGCCAGAGAGTGCTGAATGGTGCTGAAGACACATGGGGTGATCAACACAGGTCTGGCCTCTCCCTTTACAGAGTTCTCACTAGAAAGGGGAAGGCAGTGACAGCACATCCCCAGTGTGACGATAAGAAAGCCCAGGCAGAGAGTGATCAGAGCTGGGATGGATGGGCATAGGCTGAGGGGTCAGAACTGGCATGAGAAGGCCCAGGCAGAGGGATCAGGGCTAGGATGAGAAAGCCCCGACAGAACAGTGAGGGCTGGGATCAGAAAGCCCAGACAGAGGGGTCAGGGTTGGGCCAAGGGAGGCCCAGGCAGAGGGGTCAGAGTGGGATGAGAAGACCCCCAAGAGAGCAGTCAGGACTGGGATCAGAAAGGCCAGGCAAATGGGTCAGGGTTGTGATGA